TACGGACCTTCCCGAAAACAGCAGAGACCGCCTGCTCCTTGATTTCATGCTAAACCGTTTAAACAGCGAAGGGAAAATGCATACTTAAATATAATAAAGATTTATCAACTTCATTTTATAATCAATGTCTATGTCGTCTGACAGCCTCCTCGGAAAACGTCTATTTCTTAAAAAAAATAATCTTTAAGAAACCAGCGTATAGACAGAATGGACATTGATCATCATCATGGCACGAAACTGCTAACATGCACCTACGAACAATGAACTGATGTCTGGCCGAGTTCGTGAAAGGCCATTGCTTCTGGTTCCGGAGAGGGTTATTAAGAGATTAACTTAACTACCCAGAAACATCTAAATAACCAGCTCTGTCGTTAAGTTAAATCAGCGCAGCTGTACAAGCGCGGAGATGTTCGAGTTTCGAATGGTAAGCGCAAAGGTTGCTAAGGCGATAACATCGTCACTGAAAATTTACTTTATATGGTTTTAAAGTTCTTCAACACAAAATGGAATGGAATAATTGAAATAAAAATAATAAATACTTTAATCACCTAGCTTCGAGTCACGTACATCTGGAAGGTTCTACGTGTTTAACAAATATAAGTAACTATGTGCAGCCTAAATTTCATTCCATAACAAAAAAGGACTCATACGCAATTTAAATCAGTTGTAGTATATGTAGTCTAGACGAGTGCTGACGATTCACGAGAGACCACTGTACCGCTTTATGCAAAAGTAAACCAGTTTTTGCGCCACTTTCTCAGTATGACCACCGATGTATGAACAGTGTATCTCATCTTGATAACAGCTGTACAAACAGATGTGCAGAACCTTAAGAGGTTCGTCTGCTAGCATAGCGCTAGTGGACACCTACATCGATTAATTGGAGCACAGCGTTACAGTGCTCTGCGTTACGGCTGACGATGCGAAAGTGTCAAAAATTGAAAAAATCGTCGTTGAAGTTTTTGTCAGATTCACTAACCAAGGCGTTCGGGCTCGGTTACAGCGCCGGCGGCCAACATCGACGACGGCAGACCGCTGCGATACGAAGAATCCGCCCTGCCTTCAGTCGATGTGTAAAACGGCTGTTCGTGGCCCTCTGGAAAAAAGGCTTATGGGTAATGTCCACAGATCGTACTAACTAAAAAGAATTCACTTTATTCTTACCTCTGAACGACCTCCAGATTCTGGTCAACTGCAAAGCCATGCTAACGTTGTAATCCTGATGAGGTCCCGGAATTCCGAACTTCAGGCGTGTATCACCTGCACAGCTGTTCAAATACGCTTGCAACGGGGGGACTACGTACAGCGGGCACTAAGCAACACAAAGTCGAACAATTGTAAATCTTCAACAGGGTTCAAGTTTCGATCAATCACATCTTTTAGGTTAAACATAAGTGGACGAAAGTGGCATAAAATTTTCTCATCACAAATTACAAAAACGTCAAGAACAGCAGATAATATGAAATACTAATACCTGATACATACATCTGCACTTTCAGTGGGTAAAGAATACGATATTTAGGTTGAACTTTAGCCTAATATCGCTCATAACATTCATCATGGACATATTTTATGCAAACTGAAATAAATTTGCATATGTTGTGACTCATTTCAAAAATTAAACTTAACTCGTATTCACAAACTCACAAACGATTATTTCTCGCCAAAAGCCTTCGTGGGTAAGTTCTCAAGTCAATACGACCATATGACAGCTATGAATGGGTTAGAAAAAAATACATCGCGAGGGAACTTAATGCGAGAAACATACTGCACAGGCGGAAACTGTATAAATTTATTCATCATGAAGTTACAATGGATCGACCATTTCGGAGCAGATACGCCCCATCAGCGCGATTGGCCAACGCAGCGGGAAAACTATGACCCCACATCGATCATTATTTAATAGTGGCAGCAAACATTAAAGTCAAGCAAACGGGCAACTGCTTTCATCTACATTTTTCTCTTTACGTGATGCTATATAAGTATATATTCAGCAACATCGAGACAGCCTACTCCTACCTGAATTTTAGCTGATTTTAGGCAAAATCCTTCAGACTCAATTTTTCAACCCGCGACAGTGTTAAGCACACTTTTCTAAGAAAAGGATAGGGTTGCGATAACACCATGAAAGTGAACTGTGAACGTTGGTGAGCAAAAACACTGTGGATTCTATCTGAATGATATATATTTCTCTTCAGCATTATTGGCCACTGGTAGGTTAAAGACTCCAAATGCCTCAGATTATTACAGATTATTTCGATAGCGACGTTGTTCATCTTGAACCACAACAATAAGGTTGCTGGTTAATAGTTTATGTCTAGAAAAAGCGGTTCATTCTGATAGTCCTCGCACATGGTTTTCAGCGAAGGATTTGTCCTACTGTCGACAACTGTTCCGTTCTAGGAAAGCCTCAAGTCTGCAGATACGTTTAGCTGGATGCTTTCAGCTATGTCTTTGCTTTGCACGTTCTCTGTTTGTTACACGCGCTTGCCTGTTAATTTCCAGGATGTACCGTATCAGGGCTGTTGAAATGCCGCGAGTCAGTTATGGTGCTCCTTTAGTAAACTGAGCATTACAACGGCATAGAACCGATTAAACCGCCCACATGTAAATCTTAGTCTCTTTCTAAGCTGAGGGTAATGTCTGTACCCCAGTTTCCCAAATAAGTCAGAAGCGGATCTCATTCTACTTTGACAACATTCATTGCTCAGAGAATGGTCAATATGGTTTGGCGGAAACGCAGTGGTAACACATTGCCTTTACGTCTGTCTGCTGTTTATTTAATATTCATCGAATCCACACTGCTTATACTGAACAATATACAGAGAAAAAACAGGGGGCACCGTTTCAGTCACAGAAAAAAATACGAACCAATTATGATGGCGAAAATGAATGGTGGCGAACGACCATGAGCGGCACGTTCAAACGAATCATCCGAGAGAAAAAAAACAGCCTCTGGACCTGCTAAGATTCTACGCAAAAGGAGCTCCAGAATCGTGTAGCACGCGACACAGGAATATATCCCCAATAGTCGCTGTGTCAGCATCGTTAGATAAAGCAACTGCAAAATGTGCCCCTGAAGGAAGCATTAATCATTCAATTCTGCAAAAATTTCATTCATGACAATCGATACAGCTCGATCCTGATTTGATTAGCCTCGTCACGAAAGAAGCTAGAAAAATATTAAAGTAGCGGCATGAGTGAAATTCTCGCCTTAGAACTCGGCTCGAATCAGCTGTTGCGACAATGTAAACTGCACTGGTCAGCAGTACCCTACTTCATCATGAAGACGGCCGTGATAAACTGACTTAAACGTCAGCGCTATATTCTATAGGACAGAGCAACTTTATCGGGTTGCGTTGAAATACAGTTTTTGTGGTGCATTTCATTTCAAGAGTTCTTTCACCCTGTGCATGACTTTCGTCGCAACTTCTGTTGTCCTTGCTTTTGCAATCCCCTTCGCCAGTTCTGCGTCCCCTTTAGTATCTGCATCTCTCGATATGTTTCGCTTACAGTACACTGCTTGCTATTCTGCATTTTTAAAAATGGTGGAATCGGTTATAGGACATGAGCTGGTACAGAGAAAAATTATTCTTTATCTTTTCCATGTTGAGTTATCATCTAGAAACAGCAACTCTAAAAATGCAACTTAATAGTGCACTGTCTCTCTATGAACAATGGAAGCAATTTCGTCAATCAGATGACAAACTAACCAACGAAAAAAAATTTTTCCCCTTCTGAAGAGGGACGTTCAGAAGCACAACGAACTTTTTACCTTGAAGAACGCCTGTCAGACACTGGCCAAAACAACGGCATTGGTTATTTATGCGACTGACCAAATTACTTGCATTGCAAGCCAATAAACCGTGTTTACCGCATTCAGTATGACCACCAACGTACGAACCAAACGCCCAAACTACCATCAGTCTATCTTCATCGGACGAAGTTGGAGAAGACTAGATCAACATGAATTATACTGAACTCGATGCTTAGTGTTCCTTTCATTTTTTACATTGTTTCAGCCTCGCTCTGTGCCCATTTTTGAGAGATTTCTTCGAAAACCATATATTCACAGCTACCTATACTGCAACAAAACAGTCTGGTTCAACATGCACAAATATG